CCCTCAGCATGGCGCAGGAAAGCCCCCATGTCAACCTGGGAGAGGAGTGGGGATCCATTTGGAGGAAGGGGAAGAGGGCCCCTCTCAGAATGGGGGAGGCAAACCCCATCTCAGCACGAAGAAGGAAGGCTTCTCTCAGCAAGAGGCCCTGGACAGGAGGACCCTTCTCAGTCCAGGGCGCCAGCATCTGGATCAAGGCTGGTCACTCCTGGTCCTGGTGAGGAGGAGAAGCCCTGCTTTCTGGGGCACACTCTTGGGAGGTCTTGCTGGAATATAGCTGGGCGCAGAGAGCTGGCAACAGACCCCAGAGCGCCTGCAGAGGTGAGCAGGTCAGGGGAAGGAAACTCCTCACCGGTGAGAGGCACAGAGAGAGCAGAAGGTGGGGCCTGTGATCCTCCCAGAAGACCAGGGCTGCCACCTTTGGCAAAGGGGCACTGTCACAGATAGTCTAGGCTCCCATGGGTGAAGGTCACCATGAAGGGTGGCAGGGTGTTCACACTGACCTTACATAGGTGGACTGGTCTGGGAAGGTGTCACACAACGGGTTCCCTTGCAGCCACAGCTCTTCAAGCTTCAGCCCTCGCATCTTGCTCAACTCCCGCATAGACGTCAGCTGAGAAATATGGGGCGGAAGTGGGAAAAGGAATCCCAGGGAAAGAGGGACATCCGGATCCCTGCACCCCCAGACCCCTCCCTCCACACAGGTACCATCACCTGCCTCCTGTCATCACTCTGATGGCCACTAACATGCCCCCCCCACTCTCAACCCAACTTTGACCTGGCTCCCTCTTCTCACCTCATTTTTGGAGAGGTTCAGGATCTTGACTGTGGGGACCATCTGTATAATGTCAGACAGGCCATCCAGCTGGTACAGTTTGTTGCTGCTCAAGTTCAAGGACAACAGCTTTGGGGCAAGAAGAGGTAGAGTGAAGGTTACTATCTAGGACCTTGGAGACAAATCTGCCCTCCTCCCCATCTCTTCTACGCCCTACCCTAATACCAGCACTGGGCCTACAACCTCACCTCAGGTAAATTCTTTTCGATGACCTGCAGGGTGGCAGTCATGCAGCTTCTTCGATTCAGAATTATATCAATATCATAGCCCACCAAGTCTTCAGGAAGGAGAGGGGAGGGAACCAGATGGCTGAGTGGGGTGTGGGGCCAGCACCAGCCCCTCCCCACGTTACCATCCCTACGTCTCCCTCCAGAAAGACCGCTCTGCCCTCGCACGCCCTAGAATTACTGCTGTCAGCCGTACCTGGGTCAACGTAGAGCCTCTGCAGGTCAAGAGCTAGCTTGGAGACATCAAATCGTTTGATCAAAGTCAGCTGCAGAGTGAGAGATGGAGAGCGCCGCTCTGAGGCTGTGGTGGTGGCAGGGAAATCGGGGGCGAGGGGGACGGGGGTCTGGAGGAAGGAGAGGTGGGTCTGAGCATTGGCACACAACATGCCTTGCATCTGCATTACCTTTAGCTGCTCCATTTCTTCTGGCTTCAACTTATACCGCACAGAGTAGGGAACAGCGGAGGGCCTGACAAAGACAGGTATCTACAGCAAGAAGAGGTGGGGTAAGCACCAGGATCTCTAGTTCCAAAGAAGAAAACCAGCCCCTGGCCTGTACTCCTTCCTCAGGACGAGGTACACGTAA